AATGAAAAGAAGTCGGGACTACAAAAGCTCTTACCAGCAGCCAGAGATACCAGAAGTAAGAGGAGATGGTGCTGAGCACTTGCACTATGGCTGTGAGCAGGATCACGTCCTTCAGGTGTCTAAAACCAGAATTAATCATCACTGAAAAAGAACATGTGACCACAGCAAAGGACACAGAGCTCTCATCAGGCCGCCTGGACCTTTGCACACGTGCCACGGTTCAGGTGGTTTCCAGCAAATGTTTCACCTCGGGCTCCTCGAGGCGTTACAGTAAAGCCACATTCACAGTCTCATCTTGGAGTCTCGACATGGAGTACAACCACATGAATGTCTTTTGGGGTTTTTTAAAGTACAAGCGTGTTACTGGCAACACTCCTGACCTCAGGCGCCACCTTCAGGCCTGCACACTGGACTCTTCCTATATTTTCATCCGCAATGAGGTTCCTCCTCACAAAAAAGTCAGGTCGGGCAGACACAGAGGTTGATGATTTGTGATGGACAATTTAGAGGTCCATCACCACTAGAGATTCTCTATTGATGTCTGGAGAAGACGGCGTTGTACGGGACAGCAGCCAAATCTAAATCTGGTGAAGCCTTTGCTTGAAATTGAACTACTTTTATAAAGCGCTCAAAAAGATGAAGAAGCACTTTTTAATCAGACTATAGCATCAAGTCAGTTAAAGTTGTGGGATATTGATCTGGTCAGGATGTTAATCGGTTTCAGCTGCTTTGGTCTTTATGAAATTATCAACAGGTGCACTAGAGCGGCGACGATGAGCCTCCTTTCATTTGTTGAGCAGTATATTAATTGTGTCATTTTATTTTTTCCAAAGACAAAAAATGCTGTGAGAGCTCACGCATGTTGTTAAGTGGAAAAACACCAAAAACTCTGTTTAGTTTCCACAATGCACAAGTAGGACAGATATACCACCGCACTTCAACAAAAGCTGGAAATGCCTCACACACCTCACTGGACGGTGTGAGACATCTTGGAGGGACGACTTACTCTGCCATTCCCTGCTCCATGTTTAGGTCTATCCCTCCGTCCAGGAGACTTCCATCGTCAGCAAACGCCGGCTTGGCCATGGCTGCCATGGAGCGGTAACTCCCGACGTACACCGCCAACGCGAACACGAGCAGCAACTGCCAGAGGAGTCGTAGAAGAGTTTTAAAGCCAGAAACATTCAATCCTATTTGCGGACATTCACAGTTTAAATTATGGTCTTTAAATAAACTCACCCATGTCCAAAATGTGGACGAACTGTAGAAAACCAAGAAATTTACAGCGGCGTATATCGCCTGCAGAGGAGCACAAGAGACCTGCGATCACTATTTCAAACAAATTATGAATTACATTTTTTTTAAAATAAAAAATGCACCTAAATCAATATATAAACACCCAAATCCTGCAGTCAGGACTTAAACTGATATTAGATCTGAGTGTCCCAAATAGTCAAAGCCTCAGAAAATGAAGTGTGAACACGCTTTGATCCCCTACGAATCAATTTCTCACCCTGGAGACCCTGTAAAGGCCTGAAAACATGACTGAAAACATCCAAAAACAACACAGGGCCTCTTACATTCGCTCCGAGGATGACTCTCGTGTAGAACTTCAGAGTGGCTTCATTCTCCTCGTAGATCTGCTTCTTTCCCTTCGTGCCAACTTTACCTTTGGGCTGATGGGCAAAACACAGAGGGCAATGACAGCGTTACCATACGTATCCAAGCATTTTAATTAAGGCAGGCGCAAAAGCTTTCAGATACTTCTTTCTTACTGTATGGTGTTTGGCTGGATCTATCAGCTTCTACCATAAATATCTGAAATAGAAGAACTCAACTCATCTATACCACCAATGTGTGTACGTCTTCAGAGTTATTAGATCTACAACTAGGTAGGGAACAATGTCTTAAAATGAGCAGGTAATCTTAGCGAAGATGTCACCTCTGGACTCGAGCTTCTCTCCAGTGATGACAAAGCACCACAAGACAGTAACACAGTGGTTGTTCCACTGGCCCCACTTACATTTGGACATAAAGCATATGGACTAGGGCTGTGCGATATGACCAAAATCTCATATCCCAATATAAAACATCTATCGTCCCAATAACGAAAAAATTTAATATTTTCTGTAAATTCTGTGACTCTCGGGTAGGTGAAGTGTTTCCAGCTAGGCATCGTGTACCTGGAGTAGAGTGTTTTAACCGATGCATGAAACTACACATTTTTAGACATTTTAGACACTTTTAGACAGGTTGTAACGTTCGCCGTTTTCTTTGTATTTATTACACGGCGTGCTGCAGGGAAAAGCCTGTTCTAACGTTTGAGTCTAAGGTTTATTTTTTAGCACCTGACGACTCTTTTTTTGCTTCTCATCCGTCAATACTCTGCATACTTTTTCACGTGATTCCGTTTATTTTGAAAGGTCTCAACAGGATCTTGAGCTTTATTGTGAAAGGTTTATGTGGAAATAAACAAGCGGACATGCGATGGTTTTACCGTCGTTGTTGCTAACAACAACGCATAAAAACAGGCGCTTGTCCATCTGTAGTGTGGTTATATAAAATATAAGAGAAAGAGAAAACTTTAAGAAATTAATATAGCCACTACAGTGACCATCAAAATAATGAAAAGATATTGCCGTAAACAGTTTATTTTGCGACACCACGAAATAAACCATAGCGTAAAATGAAAGGATAGACGTTTTTATATCGTCATCCGATATATATCGTTATATGAACAGTCCAAATTTTGGACTACACTTCATTTTCCCCAAAATTAATGTAAACACTTTAAGGCACATTTTCACGCTTTTCCAACCAGCCAGAGGCCAGCCAAGTATTGGGAGTTTTCTAACACCTCTGGTTAAGAAATGGCATTAAAAAAACGCCGTTTAATTATTCAAAAATGGCGCCTTTACTCCTCGCAAAGGGGCGATAGAAAACCGTTCAGTGCCTTTGCAATCCCCAAACTGCTCTGTTATGATGTCGGGGCAGCATGGGTATGTGCAACTTGTTTTTTTGCGGATGCCATGATGCTGACCCTACCACGATGCCGCCCTGGGCAACTCCCCATGTCGCCCATATCTAAGACCGCTACTGGTTGTACGATTTACAAATGCATGAGCATACACTCAGAACGTTAATTCACTTCTTCAGTCCATTAAATACGACGTTACTGTGATATAAAAAACAAAATTAGGTTTAAAAAGTGCGTCCTACAGAAGGAACACAGATTAAAGCTTCCACTCACATGAAACCTTTTCATTATGTTTTCAACTGATGATATCTGACATGATGCACAATAACTAAATATCAGTGTAGGGGTACAGTATCAGTAATGAATGAAGTGTGAAGGTTTTAGCAGATAAATGTAAACATCTTTGTCAAGATCAATTTTGTCTTCAATGTAAAATATTTTAATGCACATTTTTATGTGATTACATTAAAAGTTTGCCTTTGCTCTGTTTATTGTTCCCTCTGCAAAAATACAGGCCCGAATCAAAAGATGTTTAAATACCTTCTTCTTCTTCATCTGCCTCCATCTCACCCTATCCCTAGCATCCCCCTTTATCACACCAACACTCTGTGCGTCCTCCTTCACTACATCCATGAACCTTCTCTGTGCTCCTGCTCTTTTCCTCCTGCCCGGCAGCTCCATCTTCAGCATCCTTTATTAAATATATCCTCTATACATGTCCGAACCATCTCAGCCTTGCTTCTCTAACTTTGTCTCCGAACTGCTCGACCTGTGCTGTAACTCTGATGTACTCATTTCTAATCTTGCCCATCATGGTCATTCCCAATGAAACTCTTAGCATCTCCATCTCAGACACCTCTACCTCCTGCTATTCTTCAGCCACAGATCATCCCTGACACTCATCTCCACCTGCTCTACTCTCTTCTTCACCTCTCTCCGTTGTCTTGTATGACTGACTCCAGGTATTTAAACTCATCTACCTTCAGTATCTGTCTGATGCAGGGCATGCGTCAGCAAGAAGGTCCTGCGTTCAAACCTTTTGGCTGGACAGTGCGTGTCTGTATGAAACGCTTCTCCCATACTGCCGATACCAATTCTTTTAACCTGTACAGGCAGCTTATGTAGGGGAGAGCGGTGTGTCATGATTTATGACATGAATCATCATCAATTTGCATATTCTGAACACATTTTAGTGACCACCAAATCACTGTGATTTTTACTTAGTAAAATGAGTTAACACAACAAAACACACCTTTCAGCTTTTCATGTATTTTGGGGACCTGGAGTGTAAATGTGCCCGTCTTTAAAGCACTTTGGGCTTTAGGGACAGGGCAGCTTCTGTGGTATCAATGTGGCCATAAGGTGTAAATAAAATAAAACAGACATGGGACTCAAAACGAAAAGGTTCAGACATTTTTTCATAGTGTATATTTGAGGTATTTCTCTTTAATTTCCCCCCATAATTATGATAATAATTTAACACAGCTGAACTGAATCGGATAGAAACAAAGTATCCGCGCTAGTGTCCAATACCAGCGTCGGTATCGACACTCCCGATACATGGATCGATCCCTTCCACCACTACTGCATAGCAGCACGCGTGAACGAAGCCGGGGTGGGAGAGATCAAACGTGAGAAAGTGACAGAAATCAGATTCTTGTATTGAGTTTGTTTTCACGCCATCGCAGAACAAACCGCAGGCTTCTGATGCTCTCTGCAGCTGAGTCGGTGCATCAGCTGCGGTACAGCATTGAGGAAATGTGGAAGTGAACTACTCAGCTCTGCCGCATGTGTGTGTGCCTCACCGCCATTCGCTCTCCGGACCGGTGCTGCTGCTGCTCTCCTCCGCTGCCGTCTTCTTGGACATCGACCTCCGAGCCGCCGCTGCCGCTCTGCTCGTTACTGCATTAAACCCGTCCAGACTCTTGAAACACATCAGCACTCACGGCTTGTGTGGGGAATAGCAACACATCCGGCGCACGATTATGGCATCATCAGCTCCATTTCCGTCTCCCGCGTCTTTGCGTAATCGTTGTGTAGTTTTTTTCTGTTTGTGTTTTTTCAGGAGTGCGCAGCAGCTGCTCCAGTAAACTACTGCCATCTTTACCTCAGCTTAACAGTTAGTTCAGATTTTGGGCCCAGACAATGGCTGGCGACAACGAGGACACCGCCCTGAAAGAAGCCAGGAGACGCGAGCGTCAGGTAACTTTGGAGAATACTGACTCGGACATCGGGTTTTGCGGCTGGCTGCTGGTCGGCCTCTCCCTCCTCCTCGTGCTGCTCACCCTGCCCTTATCTATCTGGATGTGCATCAAGATCGTGAAGGAGTACGAGAGGGCCATTATCTTCCGCCTGGGGCGCATTTTGCGTGGTGGAGCCAAAGGACCGGGTTTGTTCTTCATCGTGCCGTGCACCGACAGCTTCATTAACGTGGACATGCGCACCATCACCTTCGACATCCCACCTCAAGAGGTTCTGACCAAAGACTCGGTGACAGTGAGCGTTGATGGCGTGGTCTACTATCGCGTCCAGAATGCCACCCTAGCTGTGGCCAACATCACTAACGCGGATGCAGCCACGCGCCTGCTGGCCCAGACCACCCTGAGGAACGTGCTGGGCACCAAGAACCTGGCCGAGATCCTGTCCGACCGCGAGGAGATCGCGCACAGCATGCAGTCGTCACTGGATGACGCCACGGATGACTGGGGAATCAAGGTGGAGAGGGTGGAGATCAAAGATGTGAAGCTGCCCCTCCAGCTCCAGAGAGCCATGGCGGCTGAGGCAGAGGCGAGTCGCGAGGCCAGAGCCAAGGTGATCGCCGCCGAGGGGGAGATGAACGCGTCGCGGGCGCTCAAGGAGGCCTCCCTGGTGATCGCAGAGTCTCCGTCCGCCCTGCAGCTGCGCTACCTGCAGACCCTCAACACCATCGCTGCCGAGAAGAACTCCACCATCATTTTCCCGCTGCCGCTGGAGATGATGCAGGGCCTCATCAAACACTGAGGAGGCTAAAATCCACACACTAACACAGCACGGATCACCTGACATATTACACAGTCCCTCCCTCTGTTAGGCATTCCTCTGTAACCATCAGGTAACCGAGTGGGCTTATTTTCAAGGTTTCCTATTAATAAGCCACGAATTAGTAATTATTGGTGTGGCACAGATGATAGAAAGTTATTATATATAACACTGCTGGGGTGGGTTTTATTGTGAATTTCCACTTGTGGTGTTTTGCAGTGAACCATGGCAAACACACCTACAGCAGCCCGATTTACTGCTGTAGAAGCCTTGAGGCAAAGCCTAAGCCAAACCCCTTTTTTACATAGCAGGGATTGAAACCCATAATTAATTATATTAGGGCATTTTACAAGATATGTCATAGATTAAAAAATAAATAAACTGGGATGAACACAAATAGAGTCATTATATTAAAAAAAAAGCAGTCATAAATGACTCCAGTCTGTCATTTACATAGCTCTGTGGCTGTGGAATTAAACCACTAGTGCTAAGATGATGCTTGGTGAGTTGCTCCCTGTGGTTTATAATACACTGCATTGAGACGGTGGCATTTTTATTTCCTTCTTTCATCTGAACCCAGCCTGCTGTGTTTAACCAGCAGCAGCACTCACACATAGATCAGGAAATAATAACTATATTTTCTTTTAGCAAAGCAAGTTTGCTCACTTCACTTTTCTGTTTAGCTGACCAGCCTCAGCTCTCCATCAGCTCTTGTCCATTCAGCATGCTCGCTCAGTCAGTCCAGAGCCGGAGGTGCCAGACGCCCAGCAAAATCTCCAGCGGCTGGCTCGGCGTGCCTGCCAATAGCTGACCGCTGACTGAATTCGGAAATTGTGTATGAGCCTTAAACCAAATCAGCGAGAGTGCAGTTTAACTCTTATCTTGTTACATTTTGGTTACAAATGTAGAAATTGTGAGTTTAAGTGCCTGATAGATATGTGGTCTACAGCTGCACACACACACACACACACACACACACACACACACACACACACACACACACACACACACACTGGTCTATATATTTCTCAGCACTGGTACAGCTGCCAGCATCTCAGTGCTGCAGTTATTTAAAGTGTTTTCATTATATAAGTATTCTGACTGTACTGTCTGTTACTATTGCCAAAACCTTACTGAATGTGTTTTAGACTAATTTTAAGTGTAAAACTCAGACTAACCTTAGACCTGACATCATCGTTGTTACCTTTACCTTTAGTCTCTCCCGCTCGTTGGATGTGATTGTGAGGATGAAGGACAAAAAGCTGACATGTTTGTGTGAAATGTTGAATTTGGGCTTCAAACCTTGAATGCCGTGAATATTGTTAATGTAATGTATTCCTGCCGATGTTGAACTTCGCTCCACTGACCATGAAGAAGCAGGGAGTCGTGTTTGAATAAGCTGGTCAGAAAGCGAGGATCAGTCAGAGTTACCAAGTAATTATACAGAAACATACACACACACCTTTTCTCTAGTTGCCACTATACTACTACATTATAAGCTGAAACAAGTCGATGGTTGCTGAACTTGTGTGTTTACTCTAAACTCTCTAATGATCCACAGCATGTAACAGGTGGACAAGCGGTTCAAACACCCACAGATGAGCAGCCACACCTCAGTACATGGCTGTCAGTTGTTTCTTTTATTTTGTTCATCCCGTCAACCTGTGTGGCTTCATTGTCTGCTTAGGTGAAGCAGAGGCTGTAAATCTTACAACCAAAAGCCTTAATGTACTGACATGTATTCATTTTACAGTCCAGTATCACTCTATGCACTTCTATACAAAGTTATCTAAAGAAGTTACTTTACCTATTTTATTTTTTTTAATGATATTTTATCACTTGCGCTCAAAAGCCAAATACTAGCCTTTGTATTAATCTGTATTAATCTGTAGTATATCTGCAGTTTGCATGTGTTTCCCTCTTTTTAGCATTTCAAGAACAGAGTTTCTAAATGGAGCTTGCATTGTTTAGTCTGTCTGTGATCAAGCAGTGTTTTATATATAGAGCCCTGTGAAGTTTATTATAGTTTTGCTGTTGCCTCACGAAGGGCTCGCTTTTGTGGGACAAACAGGTTTAAGTTACCTGTCGCTGCAGGATACAAAGGCTGTGACATTATACTACACTAACTTTTATCTCTTTTTTTGCTGTTACAGTGAAAGAGGAGTATCAGATGCTGTGGAGCTTATGTTAAGTCAAAACATGTGTGTTGAAGTTGGATTCAGGATTATTGTTGGTGTTTGCTTTGCTGACAAACGTATATGATTTTGTCTTGAGATATGTATATGACAGATAAAGGTGACAAATAAAGATCTGACTGAAAAGCAAGTCTCATCATTTGGCAGCTGTCTTCAAACACAGTAGGGTACTAAACTGGACAACTTATGAACAACTGTATAAATTAGCTTTAATTTAAATGATCGTCGGGACAAAAACTTTTTTTGATTGTTTTTTTTTATTATTTAAAAAAAACATCACATTCTCTCAACAGCCACTTTATTACATACATTTCAGCAGCACTGGGTTGGACCCTCTTACTTTCAGAGCCTCTTTAATTCTTCATGGCACAGATTCAACAAGGTGCTGATTTCTCTGGGATTTTGGTTCATGTTGATGTGATGGTGTCACACAGATTGGTTCATCCATTGCAGCAGAAATAGACTCCTGAGATCAGACTCGTTTCCACTCTCCTGTTGTTCAGTTAGTGAGTCCATATGAATTACAGCCTTGGTTTCCTGTGGCACTCTGTGCGGTCTTCTGCTGCTGTAGCACATCTGCTTCAAGGTTCGACATGTTGTGTGTCCACAGATGCTCTTCTGCATACCTTGGCTATAACTAGTGGCTGCATTTTTGTCCGGAGAACTGCTGCTCATTGGATATTTTCTCTTTTTCAGGCCATTCTTTGTCAATCCCATTAGATCAGCAGTTTCTGAAATACTCTGACCAGCACCAATAGTCATGCCAGGTTCACTCTTTTTTCATCATACTGATACGCAGTTTGAATTTCAGCAGGTTGTTTTTACCGAGTTGCTGCCCTATGTTTTGGGGATTAGATATTACATTAATGAGCAGTTGAACAGATATTATACCAATAAAGTGGCAAGTGAGTGTCAAATTAGCTAAACAAAAAACAACCAACAACCACAAAACAAAAAACACAACTAGTTGGATGAACTTTCCCCAAAATGTTTTATTTTTCTCTTTGGAAGTTATTCTTCCACCAGCCTAGCTGTTCCTGAATTCTCCAACTAATTTGGATTCTTAGAGTGCCAAACCTCCTTCCTGTAGTTGAAAGTGAGTTGTGAACAATGGACGGGGTTCCATCTGCTGGCCATTTCTAGAAGTCGCACTAAATAAATAAATAAATGAATAAATACATTTAAAGCAGAAACGATGTTTAGAATAGTTTTGCTATTCAAGTATTGTATTTGTTTTTTATGGGGTAAGGATATAATTTCTTTTATAGGGTAATATAAATTTTTTTCCTCTAGAATTTAATGTCATGGTTTAAAATGCCACAGTGCTGTCAGGGTCTCCTGCATGGGGTGCGAGATGTTGTCCAACAGAAATGACAGCTTAGCCACCATTCTCCTGTCACTCAGCACCTCCACTCTGTCCAGAGAGCATCCTAGAACAGAGCTGGCCCTCCGGATCACCCTGTTCAGTCTCTTCCTGTCCCCAGCAGAGATGCTGCTGCCCCAGCAGACCACACTGTAAAAGATGGCTGAGGCCACCACAGAGTCATAAAAGGTCTTCGGGAGTGGGCCATTCACTCCAAAAGACCTGAGCCTCCGCAGCAGGTACAGCCTGCATCTGAATTATGAGTCCGGCCAGTTTATTGTTCAACAACAAGGTACCTGTAGCTATCCACAGCCTCAATGTCCATACCTTGGATGTTCAGTGGTTGCAGTGGAGGATGTTTGTGCCTGCAGAAGTCTACCACCACCTCCTTGGTTTTACTGGCGTTGATCTGGAGGTAGTTCAGCTGGCACCAGTCCACAGAGTCTTGGGTCAGTTCTCTGTACTCCCTGTCGTCCCCATCAGTGATGAGGCCGAATACTGCAGAGTCATCAGAGAACTTCTGAAGGAAGCACTGGGAGTTGTGGGAGAAGTCTGCAGTGTAGATGGTGAAGAGTAACGGAGCCAAAAACATTCCCTGTGGGGCCCCTGTACTGGAGACAACCCTGTGTGACACACAGCTCTGAGTTCTCATGTACTGTGGTCGGTCGGTGAGGTAGACCCAGTATCCATGACGTGAGGTGATGGTCCACTGTGTACTCCAGCTCTCCTTCAGAACTGTGGGAAGAATGGTGTTGAAGGCACTGGAGAAATCAAAGAACATGATCCTCACAATGCTCCCAGCAGTCTCCAGCTGAGAGACGGAACGATGTGGAAGGTGAGTGACAGCATCATCCACTCCAATGCCAGGTTGGTAGGCAAACTGAAGTGGGTCCAGTGATGAGCTCACCAGAGGCCGAAGCTGAGCTAGGACCAGCCGCTCCAGGGTCTGCATCAGGTGGGATGTCAGAGCCTTCGGACGTAGAGTCTTTGGCACTGGTACAACACAGAAGGGTTTTCCAGAGCTGTGGAACTCTCCCCAGCCTCAGGTTTAGGTTGAAGATATGCTCCATCACCCCACACAGTTGGTCTGTTTCTCCCTAACGTTTAGCAGTTAGCACCACAACCACAGTTTAAAATTTTAACAAGAAATAGCTTTGATCTATTAAAAGTAATAGAAAAAAAATTCAACCACAGTGATTATACGATATTTAAAGTGGGATTTTGTATATATAGTTTTCCGCATAGGTTTTATTATTAAGCAGGACTTGGATTTATTATTATTATTATTATTATTATTATTATTATTATTATTATTATTATTATTATTATTATTATAACTACAACAACAATAATAATGTTGTTGTTAGTGGTAGCAGTAGAGGTTGAGATTGTGGTAGCAGCATTAAAATCATTATTAAAGAAGCATTGTTACTATAAAATAGTAAAGAGTAAAAATTCGCTTTTTTCCTCATTTGTTTTTAGCCACGCCACTTTTGTCCCTTCACGGTCCTCGTAGCCTGCTCTTGTCTAATAACAACCCTGCGGCAGCGGCGGCTCGTCTGTCAGATTCTTTAGTTGGAACTTGCTGGAGTCGTCGTCTTGCGCCGATGTTAACCTAATATTTGTACCTCAGTCCTGAACTGACACTACACGCTACACGATGGAGTATCTGTTCCAGGTGAAAATCGGCGCTCTGATCGGGTTGTTGCTCCTAACTCTTCTTTTTGGATTTATCCCCGCTCGGATCAAATGGTTCAGAGAGACAAATGGGACAGGTTGGTACACAATAACATGAAAAAGGAATGGCATAAGCAGCTGCTAATAGCAGCAGTATCTGTATTTGAGAGGGTAAAATATGTGACTGCTATAATCTGATTTTCAAATACCGAGATCTCACCAATCTCAGCTCAAAAGGCGGAAAGGGGGAACAAATTATTAATATTACTTGTTCTCTGTTAGTTGTGTCTCGATGTCACCAATGCCGAGCTAAACGGGAGAAGTTGCTCATTCCTGTAAGGTATTCCTGCCTCTTTTGGGATTTGCTGCCATTTACAGATAAAGGCGGAAACCTTAATTTGCAAGAAATGTAAACGAAGTTTAGTGTAGCTTCAGAAAAGCCCAGTTACAGGAGCTCAATGGTTTCACCGTTGTAGTTTCCAGTGGATCACATGATCACATATCACCTCCCTGATAATGTTTTAAGTGCTGCAGTTGATTTTTTTAGCCCGGTCCTGGAAACTGAACATGCGCAGCATAAGTGTTGAAAAACAGGGTGGGTCTCACACGTGGAGGGCAAGATAATGCTGTAGATATTTTAATGTCTACATTTTGACGGTTTATTTTTTCTAATATCACAGCAGTCATTTATGTCAGTCTAAAGGGTTAATCTGTCCAATCAAGTGAACCATCCTCTGACCTCTGGCTTCAGTCACCTGATAGCTGTGAAGGTTAAAACTCTGATGTCACATTTCTAGAACACAAAAGTGAAAATATGAATTTGAAAAAAATGTGTTATAGAGGTGAGTTAAGTTCGGCTTTCTTACAAGGAAGTGAAAGCATCAATTCTGGCTTATTGCTGCTGGAGTACTCTTTTGAGTCATCTTTGCGTGAGCGTGAACAGACATGTGTCACATGATTTTCCAACAATTCAAAGGGTGGAGGGAAATCCCGTGATTTAAAGTTGGACATGTACCATTAATCTTTCAGATTTAGGTTTAGGTTCTACTGAACGATCAGATGAAGCTGAAGGCTAGTAGTGATTTAACAAGAGCCCGGCCCCTCCTGTGTTCAAAAATGATGACATCATTGTCAGTGTTCTTTATTTGTAAACAGTATGTTTTAGTGACAGGTCATAGTTTATTAGATTCCCAGCAATACATTTTGCATACTAGTCAGTAGCATGGGCTTTTTATCTGTTATGTTCTAATAAAAGAAATCAACATATAAGCTAGTACAGCTAGGGGAGTAATACAGACTGCCATCTGGCCAGGCCTCTGTTGTGAAAGAAATTTGATCTCCATTGGGTTACCTGGTTATAGAAGGCTAAATAAACCAATAAAAAAGCCATTATATAGGACAAGGTTTTACTGCTGTGTTTGAGTTTGTGCTGAAACATAAAGCATGTTTTGTCTTCCTCTTTGCAGATGTTCATGGCATGGTTCTCAGTTTGATCAGCTGCTTTGCTGGTGGGGTTTTCCTGGCAGCATGTCTGCTCGACATCATTCCGGATTATCTGTCAGACATTGGCACAGTGCTGGATGCTCGGGAGGTGGAGGTATCTCGGAATAATGATTTAGACGAACTCGTAAAGGAAACAATATAATATAAGATAATATATCATATATTTACAATGCATTGATCTGTATTCCCAATTAATGTTATTTTTTTGCATGAACAACCTCAGATTTTCAGATTGTCACCTGTTCAAAGTATTTGTGGTCCAAAATTCAAACATATTTGCTCCACAGTCATGTGAAACCGCAAGATTGAAAGGCTGTTTGTTATAGCTCAAAATACTATTACTCCTATTAATGCTGATATTTTCTATTTCATCTATTTTCATCTTCTACAGTAGATATCCTGTCTACTATTTCCTTCCTGTGTTAAACATCTATTCACTAATTCTTGATTTTACCACATTGACCCCGCTAACTGTTGAATCTCTGTATCTGGTCTTAAAAAGACCTCCTTTCCCCTTCCAGAGTTCATCATAGCTGCCGGCTTCTTCATGGTCCTCATACTGGAGAAGATTGTCCAGAGCTTCCGGGAGATGAGAGGGGCTCGTGAGGAGAGGGCTCCCCTTTTGCATGACCATGGGCACGGCCACGGGCTAGCCACAGCCCGTGATCTGGAGAGCAGCGGCCACCACGTTCATGTAGACTTACAGGCTCACTCCTCCTTTCGTTCCTTCATGCTCTTCCTGTCTCTCTCACTCCATTCAGTTTTTGAGGGTCTTGCTATTGGCCTGCAAAGCACTGACTCGAAGGTAAGACAGACCAAATCACCTGACGGTAACTGTGATCGCGCACTCTTTTTTTTTTTTTTTTTCTTAATCCACACAAACTTTTAAAGGCTCGTAATCGCACCTCTCTCTTGCTACGTGTCAAACCCGTGTCAGCATTTATTTGGGAAAGTACTGCTCAGGTGAAGTTGGAGTCATGTTTGCAGAGCAAGTTTCAGTTCAGAGCTTCAGAAAACTTTGGCAGCAAAATGAGTCGGATTTATTTCTACTGATCGAATGACAGCACAAGCAGCTTTAGCAGAATTTCAGTCAGCATCTTTCATTCACATGAAAATTTGATGTGTGTGTTCAGCTGTACTTTACAACTGAGAACAATATATACAATACATAAAATGTAACTGTACTGTACAAAAGTCTTGAGTAAACCCCAGTTTCCTTATATGTTGCTCTGGTCTAGAGCAATAGCTCTCCAAGCTTTCTAACAGTTTTTCTGTTTCTTTGGACATTGGCTGCTTTTTCACCCATTTTCGGTCCACTCCCTGTACCTGACCATTTTCAGTACAATGTTTATTTTTTGTTAAGCCACTTAACACTGACATATGAATAGGGATGGGTATCGTTTAGGTTTTATCCGATACCGGTGCCAAATCGTTACTTTTGAAACGGTGCTCAAACGGTGCTCAAACGGTGCTCAAACCGGTGCTTAAAGAATGGAGAACACAAAATTGGTCCAAAAACCTCTCATGTTCAGCTGTTTTTTTGTAAAAAGATAACAATGTTAGCCTTTTCTGCAGCTATGGGGCATATATGGTATCACTCTTGGCTGGAAGCAGTGCTTAAACAATGGAAAAAACACAAACTTTGTCCTAAAACCTCTCATGTTTAACTGTTTTCCACTTTTTCTTTGGTCATTTTAGCCTTTTTGGCCAGGGTGAAGGGAGTTTCTGCCATCAAACAAGAGGACAGCCGCATGTAGCTATGATGATGTTTGCTAGTTCACCTTACATGCATTAATGTAATAACGTGGTTAGCCTACTCAACGTAAATTACACACGCACAACATTAAGCTACTCACGCAGAGAAGAACGGCTGCTGCTGCATCATCATCCGTCATCATTTCTGCTACACTGGCAGGGCTAGGGGCCAGGACTCTATTCTTCATGTTTTTGGGGGATGTTGCATAACAGGCAACCCACCCGCAGTAGATGTGTTCGGTGTGAGGTCTCGCAGCAAGCTATCATACGGCGCATTTCTTGGCTTTTTTAAAAAAACGCTATGCGTTGCCAGGTGTTTCATCGGATTTGAGGTGTCACCTCCTTTGACAGTATCACAGTATCAGCTTAAAGCACTTGTTGCAGGCTGCTGAGTTTGCATATTTTGCTGTGAAGTACAGCCAGACTTTTGACCGCTTTGCCTTGGACATTTTTAATCTGTAGCTCTGCTCTAACTGAACGTACGTACCTGGGCCCGCCTACTATCCTCGGAAACGTAAAATGATTGGCTAGAAGTCTATCACAGCTCAGGAAAAAAAAGCACCGAAATAAAGCACCGAAATAAAGCACCGAAATGGGCGCTGCTTTTCGGTCTGGTTACTACCGTTTATGTCAGCACCGGATACCGGTACCCATCCCTACATATGAATCATTCAAGCATAAACTTATCAAAGAACCAATTTTAATTGTATCTTTAGGCACTTTGTTACCAGCAGTCTGTTGTATAAACGTGTGATTTGTTGCCAAAGATAACACAGTTTGACATTATATTGTTTTTTTTCACCACCAAGGTGATTTCCAAAGAGCATTTCTCAGCAGGCTGTCTCCTTTATGCTTAAAAAAACCAACAACAAAACACACAACCAAAAGAGTAACGTTGGTTATATCACATATTGATGTTCTAGCTCCTTACAATTATATAAATACGTTGTATTTGTATGTATGTTTGGACGTTTCAGTAAGTCCCCAGGATGGCTTAAGACTTTTGCACACTACTCTACAAATATTGCTAGGGATGGGAATTGATTAGAATATATCGATTCGGTTCCTCATTGATTCTCGCTGGGTTGTTATTGGCTCCATTTTCAGAGTCACCGCCATTGCTAAGCTGCAAAAAGCAAATTACATTCACACAAATTTATTGCATGCTGTGGGTCAAATGTTTGTGCATGTTTGTTGAGGTATTCCCCCTCTTTCCTGTGATCAGTGTTGGAGTCGTGACTCACAGTCATTATTACACATACTACACAGAACACTTTTATTAAAAGTAATGGACTGCATTACTCAATTACTCCCAGGAAAAAATAATTTGTTGTACCACTCACTAATTTAATTCCATATTAAAATAGCTGAAACACTTATCGGAGCCCATTACAGCAGCTGTCATAAATTTGTGTTTTATAAAACGGCTTCTTCTCTGGCAGCTGGTGAATTTGTTAGAACTAAACACATAATAATTAAAACATGTCACAGAATAGATTCCTTTTAATCATTCCTGCTACCATTAAACTTCTATAATTTAGCCCCAGCCTTAGTACACCTAGTCTTCTACATGCTGTTGTTTGTTTCATTGTAATTACAGCTTTATAACACAAAGTAAATCTAAATATACGCAAAATGTCTTTATTTTTTCCAGGTACTGGAGATCTGCATCGCTATTCTTGTTCATAAGAGCATCATCGTGTTCAGCCTGTCTGTGAAGCTGGTCCAGAGCACAGTTCACCCACTGTGGGTTGCCGCTTACATCGTAGTGTTTGCCTTGATGTCTCCTTTAGGCATCGCCATCGGCATCGGTGTGATGGAGGCTCAGCTGACAGCCGGACCTCTGATCCAGGCCGTGCTGGAGGGGCTCGCTGCAGGCACGTTTGTTTACATCACTTTCCTGGAGATTCTCCCGCATGAGCTGAATTCCCCCGGGAATCAGCTCCTTAAGGTGATGTTCATCCTGTTCGGCTTCACCATCATGGCAGGTTTGACATTTTTGGGTTGAAACTGACATTTCGTTACTTTCGGCTGACATTGCCGTCAGGATATCCCTTGCATCTGTTGTACAGCTCCCACAGATTCACTTCACTTTGGTACACAGAGACAAACTTGAAGGAAGACGTAGCTTTGCTGCCACAGGGTTACACCTACTCCTGGAGTCGTTCATATCAAAGGAGCGTGACAACATTTGGCATTTTATTGATTTACGTTTTAACTTTTACAGTATTGCATATTGAAATACAGAGGACCAAGACATGAAGAATCAATGTTAACAAATGCTATAAAATACATCAAATAGTATTAAAAATAATTGTAGGCGAACTTGTTTCTAAAATGTGACACATCCTAATATTTCCGTTCTAATTTGCATCTGTATTTAACTTTGTGGTAATTCACCAATTTTTTTTATTTTAATGTACTTTTTCAAGAGTGCTTCCATATGGTTTCATATTTGTGTTTTATTTAACCCACCGCCCAACTAAATCATGTGTTGCCATTTATTTATTACATATTTTTAAGAGTTTTATGCATTTATGCTTAAACATGGATTTTCAAGGGAGAATTGGTACTGGGGGTTGTTGTGTAAGAGGGAAAATAAAACATAACAATAAATAAATATGAATATTTAAAAAATGAATGATTAGTTTATAATAAAACTGAAATATCACTGGTAAAAATTAAATTTAAAAAAAGATTATTAATACAAAGGTAAATAAATACAGATGCAAATTAAATTAAACCAGTCAAAGTTTGTCCAAAGCTGTGACTGGATTGTGTTTCTGTCGCATTTTATAAATGATATACATTTGTTTATTTATCATTTATTTGTATATCGGTTTTTGATTTGGGCACTTTTGGCCCTCCATAAAGATGAACTACTGAATGCAGTGCTGCATTTGTTGAATTCATCGCTGATGTTATTTTGAAATGCATGCTGAACGTTGCCTCTGAACTTTCAGGATATGCACATCACCACTGCAACAAAGGGGCAGTCTAGAAGTATGACCTCTTTTAATTCATTCAATCACTATGCCTGGTGCCTCCAGAGCTTTAATATTTATAAATCGCAAGGTCAGCGGAGAAGTTTGACAGTTACTTCTTTACGAAATGCACTGATTGTTTCTTTACTTTTGTTTCACGCATGTTGTTCTTTACAGTTGGCTCAGTTGGGTATTTGGGGTTTGTAAACTGGTTTTTCACTGACCCGGTCTTGTTTACTAAATGTTGTTTTTCCAGTGATTTTAGTAAGTTCTTACATATTGTTCTTAATACTCTTATTTTACTTCTTATTACTGAAAAGATGATGCATCACTACTATTTTAAAAAGGGTTGCAGGTCTAGTATAAAGTACCATATTTCAGCCTGCTTACACTCCAAGTACTGACTGTTATATTTAAGCAGTGAAGTATCGCTTGTGTAATCTTCTGACTCCACATACGTGCCAAAAGCAGGAAGTATAAATTTGATTGGCATGAAAAGGACACTGTCATCAAAAAAAGTGTTATAATGACATGACATGTCACATGCCTCGCCTTTTTTATTTTTATTTTTTAATGTCACCTTTGGTTAACCAAAGAAATAAAAGCCACTCCTTTTCTTTAGCACAACATCACCCAGTTTGCACTCTAACATATAAAAATCATTTGAAAACCTTGACTGTCTTTTTATAAGCAAACTACATGTATATTTTGTGCCTTATGGTCATTCTTCTCATGAGAAACACGACTGCTTTTTGTTAACCTTTTCAAAGTAAAAAGGAACTTTAAAAAATGAGTGCAAGTGCTGGTTCTTTCTTTGTTGTTGTTGTTGTTGTTGTTGTTGTTGTTTACAACGGAGCTTTCTCGTTGTCTCATCGTCTCATCGTCTACTTTCACTCACACATGATCTCACGCATGAACCCCAAATGTCATCATTCCCTGACTTCAAACCAAAAACTGCAAAATAAATAAGATATTTAAAGTAATGGAACTAACACACATACAGAGATTCCTTCATTTATGAGTGGGATGTGAAAAGAGGAAGAATTTTTAAAAGAGGAAGATCACAGAGAGGGTTCATGATTGCAGGGGTGTGGTATGGCTAAGGGCAAATGATGTCCTGTGGTGACCTCTAAAGGGAGCAGGTGAAAGAAAAACAAGTCCAATGTGAATATTTAACTTAACAAATTGGGTTTTTAAAATTTTGCGTGGTGTGTTTGGGGGTTTGATTGCATTTGGCAGCAGATTACTGGAGCCACATGGTGGGAGTGTTGATCCTCTGTCTTATAGCCTCATCCAAAATGGACAGCATACCAAACAGACAGAAATAAGAGACTTAAATCTAAGTTTTTAGGAATACCATTTAGTGATTACGTGTAGGCACACGAAGGCGACATTTCAAGAAGGTATTTTAACATTTGCAAACACGCTGGTCACCTCACTTAATTTTCTTTTTAAGTAGTAATTTAGTGTGGAACAACCAGGGTCTAAATCGGGGTGGGGAACTCCAGGCCGTGAGGGCCGGTGTCCTGCTCGTTTCAGATCTCACCCTGAGTCAACACACCTGAATCAAATGCTTAGTTCATTACCAGGCCTCTGGAGAACTACAAAACGTGTTGTGGAGATCATTTAGCCATTTGAATCAGCTGTGTTGGATCAAGGGCACGGTCTAAATAATAAAAACAGTGATATCGAAGTTGTATGCTGGCTGACTGAAGATCTTGAATAAATAATTTTACTTTTAGCATTTAATTTGTAGTACATCATCTTTAATTCCCATACACTGAATATATTTTACTTCTGTTGTCCACAATGTTAAAAGCATCCACTTAGTATAGTGTAAGTCCCCTTTGCGCCCCCAAATGTTGGCAGTGCTCTACTACTTGCAGTGTCGTGTGGTGCACTGTCAGGGAGTGGCAGCTATGTTTTGAGGGTCTACAAAGTAAAATCCACATGAATGCCAGGAGAACCCTGCACTGTAAAAGGATGCACAGTACACTTCGCACTTCAGAGGTGATCAGAGTGCACTGAAACAGTAAAACAGCTCGAAATTCTTCTTTATTAGATTTGTGGTCACAGAGTCCTGCTTGTTGGCTTGCAGGGTGACATAACTGACAGGAATTCCTTCGCATCTTTGAGCTTTACTCTAACCCAGAGACAAGAACAAAAAAAAAAACATAGCCACATCCGATGTGATACATGGAGGAGTGGTTAACCCCTGACTGCCTCTGTAAAGCAATAAGAGCTTATTCAAAAAAGCAGAAAGAAAATCACTAATGAGAGCCTCTGATAGACGAACAATGACACAGTAAGCCTGCCAGTTCTAGATCACAGAGGCCTCAGTGTGTGGAGGAAGGAGACCCGGCAGAGCATCAAGCTTTAGTGTGGGGTGGACGGTTTACCCATACCTCATTAACCTCCTTACAGTAATGCCATTGAATACTCCCATTTTGTCTCGCCGACATGCAGATTACATCCTAAGTACCTAAAATGCTCTCCTTTTTCATGCTGCGATGGCACAACTTGGTCTTAGGAAGAACAATGTCACAAACCACATAAAAAAACATGATTTGTTTTTTTTATAATTGCACAGAAAAGGTTTTTTTGAATGCACACCACATTTCAAAGATTGTTGCCATTTAAAAAAAGGAAAAAGATTTAGGTGATAAATGTCATATGACTCATCCAGCCATTAAAGAGACAGTCGATCATTGCTTCAACCTTATGTGATTAAAAAAACTGAATGTTTTACTAAAAAATATATATCGATTTCTGTGTATTTACGTCTTCCAACGAACTGATGCGTTCACATAAACTTGGTAATAATCCATTAAAAATGCATAAGAGCAGGCCAGTTATTGGAAACCGCTATGTTGCCCGCCATCTTGAATACAGTGGCCGATCTGGACATCTTGGTTCTGACTAATTACATTTTATGTATGTGAGCAGAAACTAGCATGTTTCTGCTCACATACATAAAAAGCATGTCAAATTGATATTGTCTCAATTTTGTTATTGTCAACAGCATAGAAGTGCGACCGTCTCCACTCTGAAAAGCTGACAACAAGCCAGCTGAAAAAAACCCAACAAGCACAGGTTATAAGCTAACATTACGCCAGCTATGTTTGCCTTGAGTGTCATAAGAACCTTTGACTCTGATACCGAACGAGCAGGGAGAGCTCAGAAAGCTCACTTTTAAGGAAACTGATCTTGATCTTCAACAAAATTCAACGGAATTGAATTCAAGTAGTTCCCTCCTTGTCCGTACTCAGCCTCTCGTTACATTCTGTTCCGTAGATTTTATGTCATCTCTCTTAAAGACAAAACAAGGGAAGAGAAAAAGAATGGGGAATAGAAACTAATGGCTGGCAGTATTAAAAAGCTTAAACGAAAGAAAAACAACCTTAAAACAGACACACATTTATGTTAATACACATAAACACGTATACATATACGTGTAAAGTCTGCATTCTCTCCTGCTTACACTTATGATCAATTAACAAATCACCTAGTTAGACTAATTACATTTTTAACCAATTCAACATCTATTTTAATGAGTTACTGCACTGGCATTTCATAAGTACACAAAAAACTGACACGAACCTCCAGCATGTTTTGACCAGGCAATGGCAGTTAGATGATTAAATATTAGGGGGTGCTCATGAACTCACAAATCATAATAAAGGGAACATAACAAATTTCATATCAAACATATGTCACAGCAACTACAAATGCTTAGTGGTATTAAGGTCACTCACGGTCAGCTAGACTGAACAACCAATAAAAGAAACTCTAAAAGAAATAAAGCAAAACATGGATTCTCACTTCCTGCAATTAGTGAGAGGAACTAAAAGAGAGGCCAGTTTGTCTGATATTGTGCAGTCATGGATAAGTAATCCATAATGTGGGACCCAAAACAAGTGATCCCCTCTGAGGAGGATTTCAAAGAATGTGCATAAAGGAATAGCTAATGGTCCTCTCGCTCATATGACATTTCCTCCTTTCATGTCACATGTGCTGGGTTAACAGCACATGTGACATGAAAGGTGGGATTTCTCCTACATCAGTGATAGTGAAATGCATATTTCATGAGAATGTGGAAATAAGTGCTAATAAGAACTGTTGTGGAAGGTTTGGTCCAGGGTACGGTGGCCATAAGGTGCAAAACAAAAAACACACCACTTTGTTTAATTCACGTGTTTTCTCAATGAAAGGGTTTCTTTTATTCTGATTTTGAGGGCAGCACAGTGGTCACCTCACAGCAAGAAGTTCCTAAGCTTGATTCCTAAAGCCAGGCCAGGCTCCAGCCCCTCCACAGCGCTGATTTAGATCAGCAGAAGAAAATGGATGGATGGCTCTTTTGTATATTTCTATGTACATCAAGAGCAAAAAAAGAAAAGAAGCCGAGTCATATACCTGTTCAATAAATCTTTTTTCATACAATTAAAATAAAAAATAAAATTTCACTTTTTAATTTCATTTAAAACAAATTCTATTCTTTGTCTTGCATGTTTCATTTTGGCACCATGGGACTCCATCCCAGCTCACGCTTTGCATCGCAGTTTGCATCATCTAGATTAGCCACCTGTCGTAATCCACTGTGTCATTTTAATCCTACTTTGAGTGTTTTTTCTTCCAGTAACTCCTCCCCT